ATAATCTTAACGTTAACCGATACAGATCTAGTATTTTCAAAATCGTCGTCCGTGGGATTCGAACTCTAGACCTGCCATCTGGGGGTGCAACAACTCCACCACTTTACTAAGTCGCCACACTCTGTTATATAGCTTTTTATATTTGGTTAATATATATGTATCAATATACAATTAATACAGATTTGTTTTTAAGGAGGGTTTACTTAATCTATAAATATTTGTACATCCAGCTCATAGAACACTGTTGAATTTTTAATGTTTTACATGTTAGATATCAGATATTTGATCAACATACAAAAATTCGGTCATGGTTTTTTAGACTAAATATTCAAAATTCAATAAACATTTGTCTATATACAAATTTAGCATAGTGATCTTAATATAATATTTTGCCTATATATTCTAACAGTACTTCAACAGCACTTTAACAGTGGCTTAAACAATTTTATGTATGTTTATTAACAAAAAGCCAACAATATGTGTACTATTTTAATACAACATGTAATAGTAATTTAATTTCACAACTATTAGATCATTTTGAATTTATTATGTTATACTGTTATAGGACTTAACAGCCCCACAGGTCCACATACATAATTTACAAATTCTTATCGCTTAAATTCCATCTCTCTAACAGCCTCCAAAGACCATCAGAGTTTAATATTTTTATATTTTTATAATAATAACGAGTTATAAAATCTTAACTAGCTTTAATAATCAATGGCCTGCATTAAATTTTATGCAGTATCACTCTTTTGCAGAATTACAACTAGAAGCTTTATTGTACATGATCTTATGATAAAAAAAGACATAAATAGAGCTTAAAAGGGCTATAAGAGAAAAGAGTACAATATTCTTAATCAGTAGTTTTACCGAAATTTATATATTACAAGGACTTCAAATTTTCACCATTTTTTGAGATCATTAGTTCTAAATCTACCTTAAGTGATGTTGATTATAAAGAGGTTAATTTTACTAGAAAAATAACAAAATAGATTCAGTGTTTGAAACTTATAACTAAATAGAGTTGCTCTGTTAAGTGTGGCCTGGCATTGTGTTAGAGTAATGTAAATACTAATCTGTAATTTCTCTTTTAAGGTTTTTTTTTAGATCTAGCGAATTAGTTATTATAAAATAAACAATTTTTTGACTTATAAGGTGAGTAAATGATAATGGTATTTTTTTTTCTCATATATATTTTTTCAAAAAATGTCTGTAATAGATGAATATGTTTCAGTTAAATATAGTAAATTTTTTTATTAGTTTTGTTAATAAGTTCATGTTAATTAATATAATTTTTTGTAGATAATCTGGGGTTTCAACTGAATGAAATAAAAATATTTCATTATGATAAGGAAGGGAAATCTTATAAACTGCTAGAATTAGTAGAACCCAACAAACCAAAAATATTGTAAATTACAAAGTTTTTTATTGTTTCAGTTTTTATATTTTTGTATTACATGTTTTATATATCTCATTTTTTTTGTATAATTATAGTAAAATTTATAAACAAAGAGGACAATATTTTAAGATTAGTAATGAAACATATCTGGAAGAAATTAAAAATAATTGAGGTACACTTCAGAAAACAGTGCAGTTACAATATACTATAAATCTGGAGTATGAATTCATTCCTAATTAAAGAAATGTTGAAGGTGATGATGCTGGTTATGCTGATATAAAAAAATATTATTTTTATTTTTATAATAAAGATTTTGGGCACTAAAGTGTCATTATTTTGAAATATGATATTTTGGAGTGACTTACACTATATGTTGTATAAAATAAAGAGAGTTTTGGCATGTTGTGTTATTATTACTTCATCTCTAAAATTATGTATATTCAATAAGAGCTAAAGATTTATTTTTTAATTCTTTTTTGTGTGGAGTAGTGGGGACTCACATTTTAGCCTCAAAGTTTTTCTTGTATTCCAAGAAATTAGTCTTACTCATACTCTCACATCCTTTTTTCCAGTAATTGTTGTTATCTTATAATTCAAAGACTATATTAGCTTTCTATTTATCTAATATTTTCTTTGACATTTTAAACTTCTGTTGCAAAAGAAGAATAAGAGCATCAATATCTGATTTATTTCTGATAAAAATCTCTTTTTCAGTATCCATTTCTGGTAAAGATTTGTTATTCTCACTTATTATATCTTCTGAATTAGAGATATAAGATGATTCAGTAGATATACTTGCCTTAATATTTGATACATCTTTTGAGCTAGGTGGTTCAGTCATGTGTGCGTGGCAATTTGTCATGCAGATCATATCTGTCAATGACTTGGTAAAATCATTTATAAGGTTTTGAATTTGAATATCCTTTAGACTTGAAATAGCACTTACGCTGTAAGTTATTTGACTAATTTTATCAATTCCTACTCCTTTATAGAATATATATACTTTTTTTGCTCTGGAAGTTATTTTACGCAAGTTTATATCAGTAATATCAAGAAGGAGCGATTTGATTTCATTATTTACTATCGTTCTTGCTGATTAGTCATCAATATTATTCACAGACTTAACATCACTAACTCGATTTTCGTATACTTTATAATAACAATACTAGCACAGACTTTCCTTTTGTCGAACCTTCATTGCTACCCTAAATAGATCAACTATATTTTGCGATATAACCTTACCAGATCCTGTTGAAATCGCTTCTAAGAAAATTCAAAAATTTGAATATCAAATACTTTATTATTCTTGTAGTTATTATCTTTGGTGCAAATAAATAGCTTGAGTTTTAAACCTTGTTCTACTTTTTGATTATAAAGAATTTTCAGATTTGATTTCTCTAGAAGAGGCAAAGTTTCGATACTCTGACTGATTTTTTCATTATGGTTAAGAGGTAATTGCTTTTCTTCCTGAGAAGCTTCATAATATGAGGATGCTTTCACATCTGGAAGCATCTCTTGATCTTGAAGCTTTTTTTCTCAATTTTTTTCTCTTATTTTGTTACTAACATTTTCTTTATATACCCGATCCAGAAAATTATCAATTCCTTTATCATCTAATGATTTAGATTTTGCACATATAGTTGATACAGAGCAATTACGAGATAATGGAACTTTCGTTTCTTGAGTCAAAGACCCCAAGTATACATCAGAATTTGAAGTATTATTAGTTATATTGGATGCGGGAGTATCATCACATTGTAAGTCCATCTATTTAGGGGTATCTTTAGAATTTTCCATTTTGGTAGAGGCAGTATCAACAAAAAATTGATCGATTCCCTTGGTATCATCATCTGATTTAACATTAGAGTTATTTTGAGACTGGCTTTGTTTCAATTTCGCAACTCTTGCAACAGTATCTTTATCGTTCTGCTCCAGTTTAGTAATAAGGTTGGTTTTTTCTTTATCTTTCTGTTCTAGTTTCTTAAATCTAGCTTCATATTCAGCTTCACGCCTAGTGCTTTGTTTTATTGCATCTTTGAACTTCATGTTTTTGGCCTCAATTTCAGCAAATTTCTTTTTAAGTTTGGGAATCTTAGTATTCTCAGTTTTAACTTTGGTATTCTCAGCCTCAACTTCAGCAAATTTCTTTTTAATTCAGCATTCTCTTTTCTAAGTTTAGTAATCTCGGATGCAAGCCTAGAGTTTAATTCTCTCAAGGTATTGATTGTTAATTGATCGTTCGACATTGTTTTATTACAAAATGTGGATATAATCAAAAGGTTAATCACACGAAAAAAATATTGGTAAAAATTGCGCTAACACGCCTTTATTGATTGTAATAAAAATCGAAAAGAATCAAATGTTACAATACTAATGCCTACACTATAAATTATATCAACATTAATTATGGTCCGGTTCATTAGTTTTCTCAATTCTGAATGCTCTGAAATGATTACATATGGGTCTTCGTTTTTACCAAACTTTTAAGAAATCGTATGCGTGACAAATTGTCACGCTGATCACTTTTGCCAAGAAAAGTCTGATGCATTTATTGATAACAGCAGATACGTCGCATTTTATTATCTCAATGAAAGCAAAATAAATTTATTCTAAAAAAAATATAATTGGCTTATTTATTTCTGAATAGTCGCTATTTGAAAATTTCCAAATAATTTCCGGTACCACTGTATATAGTGTTAATATTTTTTTGTAGACCTTTGCCTGATGGAGTGCATGTCAGCCTTCTTGATAACGATAATAATAATTTGATTATGATATGCAAAAGGAGTGTGATTTTATTAAGATCAATTCTTCAGCTAACATTAGAACCTTGAGTACCATTTCTTTCTTTTGGCGTAAAATATGTTTTTCGAACAAATTTAATTTTGGAATGTTTTGCCTCTCTTAAAGTACCCGAATTTGAGTGAAATATCCGATTATATGGGTGATTCACCTTTTTTGGATCAGGTATTAGCTTCATTTTTTTAACAATTTCTTGCTAAAAGTATAGAAAAATAAGAAGTTGAATAAAACAATAACAGGATGCCAGTATCTTACTTTGAAAAAATATAAAGCTTCCAGAGCATCACGAAGACATTTGATATTTATGAGTTGTGCAGGAAAACTAAAAGTTGGTCCCTCTAATCCGAAATATAGTCCATCATCGAGAAGATCTATCCCTATTATCTGCCCATTCAAACCTTATGTAATAAACAAAACGGTAATTATATAATTGTTTGTTAGCTCAACAACACGAATTCAATATATCTTACCAGCAAACTGAATGCCTAATATTTTTGAGTCCTGAACCTCTTCATCCGATAAATCTTCTTTTAAGAAATTATCAAGAATACCTTTCAATGTTCGTAAGCATTTTGAACGATCTTGTACAGCTTTTCCAAGAGTAGGAGCTTTGGCACATTCTGTATGGCTGAGTTCAAGTTTTTTGGTTTTATGAACAATTCTCAAATCGATTTTTCGACGACGATCGGACATGGCATTAGATAATGTTTCTCCCCTATATATTTGTACAATAAAATGCCATTGGCTCATTGCTTGTGCAAATATTAGTAACAATAATAATGAACCTACCAGCGAAGTTCCAGATAATCAAAGGTGTCACCGAATACATTGTTTAGTATTGGTGCAATCATAGCCATTGCATATTCAATCTCGCTGAGTTCCTTATATTTGCCTGTTTTGTCTATAAATATGGACGAATTTTTCAAAAATTCATCGATCCTAACAATAAATTTAACAGTATAAGTAAATAATCAATGCAATTAAATTTGTAAAAAAAAAATTATATAACTTACACATAAAAATATATCGTGGCTATTTGCTGTACTATTTGGGAATACTTGCCAGTTCTAATTTTATATAAATAGTCGCGAGCTTCATTATATTTATACCCATCACATATCTGAAAATGGTCAAAAATGGACATAAGTAATGAGTAATGTATATATGCGCAGAAGACAATAAACTACTTTCCTCTTCGACAGTATCAATAACATTTTTTATCTCCCCTTCGAAGAACTTTGGTTCCATATTAACAATCCCATAGACCTTTCTTTTAATATCTGCCCATTCTTGCCCAAACCACGTATACATTCCATTTTCGAACTCTGAAGATAAATCTACAATTGATGAAAGCCCTAATCTGTATTTACTATGTTAGATTTTCCTTTTATTAATAATCTATTTCAGAAAAGTAAGAGAACATACCGGATAACACTTTTCATAAGTTGTGTTCGTTCTTTCTTCTCTTTTACCGAAACTAATTTTACCAACTCAGCAGTCTTAATTTTAACAATATCAATAATTAGATTACCATCTTTTAATTTCCATTCGGATTCCGTTTTATTTTGGTTTAAATAATCATCGAATGAAACCGTTTTCATATCACAATATAATGCGTCATTATCCTCATCCAATTTAAAGTCTTCTTCAGATTCATTCTCTGAACTAACACAAGAAAGCGGTGGTGGAGTATTATATATATCTTTAAGTTCATCCTCAGTGCTTTCCTCGGAGTCGGCCTCAATAGGTTGATCTTGTGATTCGATTTTAGTCCGTTTTTTGACTACATCCTTGTTCTAAAGACATTAGTAACAAATCGCAAAATAATAGTTATAGCTGAAAAATACACATTTGTACCTTTTTAAAATTCAAACCTCTTTTTGATGTAGCAACGGAAGTTCTGGCGTTGATAGTACCGTTTATATTCCCGACTACATTTCCTACATTCCCGTTAATCGGCTGGTGGATATGTACTTGTCGACGCGAGCGCTTCTCCTCCCACTCTTTTGCTTTTTTTCGATCATGTTGAGGACTCTGTCATAAAAGATTTAAAATTTGGTATATTCTTTGACTACAATAAATAATAAACTCTGAAACTACTAGCAGATAGTATATGAGAACTATCTCTAAATAATAGTTGCTAGCTTGTAATCTTTTTTTTATATTTTATAGTCTGGCATTAACTTTTTGTATATTTTTAAGTCTGTAGATTTTAGAAAAAATTTGGTACAAATAATCATTGAAAAGAGTTAAAAATTAAATAAAAAAAAAAATTATATATCAATTGCAACTAATTAATATATCTTGCTTGTAAAGTTTCACTTTATTATTATAGACTTATTCTGAAAATATTATCAAAGTCAGATATCTTCTAAATAAAAGTACTGGTCTCTTCTTTGTATTATAGCACTATATCAATAAACAAAACAAACATGTGGTTATATTCTATAAAATTTGTCTGAATTAGGTAGATATAAACAATACTAATCTTTTAGAGAAGATAAGCCAAATCATCCACTTTTTTTAAAAATTTTAGTGAGATTAACAAAAGATAAAAGAAAAAAAAAAATATCTATCTGCTATACTATTGCAAAAGAGTGTATACTATATTTTTTATTAAAATTACTAGCAGTTTTATTGTCTATATACAGTACTAATTTTTTTGATAAGTAATAAACTCCAAGCTTGTTAGCAAATAGTATATGAGAACTATTTTTAAATAACAAATACCATGTCTGTAGTAAGTAATAAACTCTGAAGCTACTAGCAAATAGTATATAAAAACTATCTCTAAATAATAGCTGCTGTTTTATAGCTGCTCTTTCTTGTATTTTATAAGCTTGTTTAGATGTTTTTTTTTTTTTTAATAAAAGTTTTGGTATAGGTAATTGTCAAAAAGAATTGTGATTAATGCAACAGATTGTGAAATTTTAAAATTTGCAAAATAAAGTAAAATATTTCAAAAATTGCAAAAAATATTGTGAAATTATGCAAATATAATATATTAAAAACAAATATATAAAATAAAAAATTTGAAATATATTTCAAAAAATTTCACAATATTTTGCAATATTTTGAAATATTTCGAAATATTGTGCTAAAATGTTTCAAAATATTTTGAAATATTTTGAAATATTGTGCAAAATTGCAAAATATTTCAAAATTATTTTTAAGTAAACATAAAATTAATATATAAAATGAAATTTTTTGAATATTTTCGAAAAATTTTAAAATAATTTTTTTGAAAATTAAATACACATATTAAAAACATTTATGATAGATTATGAAATTTGATCTAATTTATTTTTTCTAAATTTATTTAATAGAGGTGTGGCGATCTAGTGTAGTAGTTAGGTTGTCACCCTTACCAAGTGGCAGGTCAAGAGTTCGAAACCCACCGATGGCGAAAATTTGAATAATTACCTGTGTTACAGCAACCGTCTTCTGTTGATTAGTTGGGATAGGATACCTGTAACTACGGTTGCACCAGCATGACTGGCAGGTCTGGAGTATCCGTGCAATCTTGAGTTACATGGAGGAATGCAAACCGGCAATGGGCGGTGCAAATACTCGATAAGTCCCTAGGTCACGTAAATATGTAGAACTGGGAAGACAGGAGCCTATTTGGGAAGACTCGAGTGAAGAGGTAGCACAAATCTTCAGCAGTACTACTGTAAAGGCTAGACCCAGAAAAGGAAACCGAAGTGGAAGAACCGGACAGGGCACAATCGGTTTGTGGTAAAGCCGATTCACCAACCAGGCTGCCAGGTTAACCGAAGGAAAAGGTCATGGCAGAGCCGATGAACCAAGGACAGGTCACAGTCCTTCTGGGCTATCTGGATTGGTAGTCTAGGACTAAAGCGGAGGGAACCAAAGTACTGGGGATATGCTGTAAAGTAGGTACTGGGTTTGGGTGAACTTTGCAAGAGCATAGCCCTGTTGATAGGATTATAGAGTGGGTAGATTGTTGACAGGAGGGCATCCTGAGCCTTGCTACTGGGTGACAGT